GAAGTTCATGGCCACTGGTGCATGCTGGGGGAGGACATAAATATTTGGGGCGTACCATGTGAGGTTCTCTTTCTCCCCTGGGCCCTGCCTGGGGGGAGGCTGCTATTGCCTGTCTGATTTGTCTAGGCTTGAAGCCTAGGGACTAGCCATGTGCTTACTTTGAGGCCTGAGTCTGGGGGCCCAGTGGCTACTACTGATACCAAGGATGAAGATGACTAATGACTTTGGATTCAAGTACTGTCCAGCCAGATGCTCTACACACAGATTGCCCAATCTGGCGTAAAGGTCCTAGTCTGTGGATGACAGCAGCTACTGTGTTCTACCACTTACCTCTCTCCCAAAGGAGCATTATCTCTCTCCCAAAGTTTCTTCAATAAAACTCTTTAGCATCATATCTACTTTCTGGACTTCGCTTTTATCGGTTGCCACAGAGGGTGGTCAGTGCTATTGGGGCAGCCAGGTTGCTAAAATCCGCTAGACAGGCTAGGGAAGACCCGTTTGTCCTTGGAAAGTAAAGGGGGCTTGGGAGATTAACTTAACCCTGTCTGTACTATGAACATTTGAACACTGTCTGCCTTAATAAAGGGTTAAAGAAGATCTAGAAGCATTATATGTCAATGAGATGTCCCTAATCTTTCTATGAGGACAGCCAGAGTTTCCCGTCACTTGAAAATGTTGAGAGAGGCTTGCATTTTATCCAAATGCCTGCTACATAGATATATCTAAAAGGTAAGAAATATTTTAAAAAAATGTTTTTTAGATATGCTGTGTGAATAGGAACACATAACAAACATATAATGGGGATTTCTCAAATTTGACTGCAAAAGTGAGATTAAAGTATAAGTATAGCCATGCATAGTTTTAGGAACTGTAGGGGATTGTTAAAACCCCTGCCAAATGTTTATTGCTATCTAGGGAGATTTTCCAATGGCACCCCAGTCGCGCCGGGCGGATAGCGGGGTTTCCTGCCGCAATTCCGCCCGTGCTTTCGAACACGATCGTGGCTAAAAACAGCCGTGCATTGTGTATCGCAGAAAAAAGATACAAGTATCCGCTTGGCGCAACTGGGGTGCCACTGGAAAATAATGGCACCCACAGCGTGATCGGTGCACACCTGGGTGACTCCTGACCGCGCAGAAATCCGCGCGGCAATGGCGGGGTGTTGCCTAGGTGTGCACTGGCCCTTAGAGAAGGAAAAACAGCACATGAAGCCAATGAGTTGTGCTGCAGTACCCCTGTGTTGAGAAGGAAAATGGAGACAAGAGGAGAGAAGCTTCTCTTCTACTGTCCAGTTGCAGGCTAGGACACAACAGTGACCTAGTGTGTAACAAAAACTCAGAGCAAAAAACCTACCCTTGCAGCGGGATTACCCCCGCACTGCAAGGGATAAGTTCTCATTTGGGTCTAGGGGCCGGAATAAGGCAGAATCACTTACCTGATCCTGGTTCCCTTGAGCTTCTAGACCAGTCCCCACAGCATCTTCTCCCTTGGGCTCCAGCGGTCTTAGGACCGTTTATGTCATTATGTCTTATGCAGGTCCATTGACCTGCATTAGACACAAGAAGGCTGAAGGATAATCGAGCACTTAACCCTTGCAGCCCTACTGCCAGGTTAAGTTTTCTTATTTACCTGGAGATCTTTTTTAAATGCAGTAGAGAAAAGGCAGGACTCCAGGCTGTGTACATATTAGAAATGAATGGAAAGCTATGCAAATTTTTGGCAGGTAAAACATTTCTCATATATTCATTTCATCTGTCTATTGAGCTATTTACCTGGAGTTTAGCTTTAATGATAAATAAAGACAGTCTATTTTTAACACACAATGCATAAGCCATATATATGGCCATATCTTTAATAAATAAATGTTTTAAACAATAAAAGTAACTGATGGAAAAAGTATGTAAACCTTCATGACTACTGTATATGACATTTTCAAAAGAAGTCATTTGTGGTCAGGAATATATTAATGAAAATGTATGTAAACTCTTATATCTAATAAGTAGTATAACATTCTTTATAATCAGTATCTCAAGCACCACCAGCAAGCACCCACCTCCTAGTGTTGTTTGAAAGGAATGTGTTCCCTTTAAACAAGAATATTTTTGTAAATTGCTTGTTGTTTGTTGTATAAAGATAGCCCTTTGTGTGATCACACACAATGGGGGTGATTTACTAACCTAAAACACACGCACGCACTAGGTGCGTGTGATTTTTACACAGCAAAACGTATTTATCAACCAAAAAGTCTCTAAAAGCATATTTCCACTAATGCCATATATGGAAAAAATCATGCACATGATGCATATATAATGCTGCTTCACAGTTTAGACAAAAATGGTTAGCTCATGCATTTACATTCCTGCATTCATCAACGCAAGCAACACAACATAGAGCTAATTTATACAACATCACTTTGCAAATTCATGCAGGGCTTTGCACAACACACCTGCTGGGTGTGTACACACTACAAAGGTGTTTAGATTCCACCCATAGATCATGCTGGGAGGGAACACACTACAGAGGTGTATACATGTTCGTGGTGTGCTTATAAGGTTAGTCAATCAACCCCAATGAATCAGACTGACAAACCACAAGTATCAGAATAACAATTCCTGCTTTAATGGGTGAAGCCATAGATTTAAATACGTTTCCGCTAATTAATGTGGTCCTGACTGTGAATGCATTAGGCCTTATCGTAATGAAGTCCTTCAAGGACAACCAATTAGTTTTCTACCGAAACTGGAATGTGAATTTGTTTAACTCAACTCATTGGAAAGGTTAGACAGTGGTACCTCAATTCACGAACTTCTGTTCGCAAACAATTCGGTTTGCAGACAGGAAGTTTGTCAAAATTTTGCTTCCATTCGTGAATTCCACTTCAGGTGATGAACACAACCACAGCCATCTTCCCTGCTCTGACACATGGTTGTGGCTTCGTCTAGTGGAGATCACGGTCTGATCACAGTTCAATACGGATCGTGACCAATTCGGTTTGTGACCCGAATCATGGAATTAATTAAGTTTGTGAACTGAGGTGCCACTGTACAAGATTGTTCTCGTTAGTTACATTTATTTCACATGTTTGTAGAAGTTAAAAAAAATAGCTTAGGTTGTGTTCTATTGTAGAATTTGTACATACAAGAAACACATTATATAGTGAAGAAAAATTGTATAGACCACACATCTGGGCTAAAAAAACTGAGAGCCAACTATGTGTAATCCCAGCAATTAGCACATTTGATATTATAGGATTTATATAGACATGACCCAAATGTTTATTAAAACATCCCAGCCCCATTCTTGAGCATGGCCTAGCATTTACTTTTGTCTTTTACCTTGTTCCTGCAGGAAGAAACAGCTTTATTACTACCTGTGATGGCGTCAACTGGCTAGTAAAACTCTTGCTGGGGCAGCTGCTAGGAACTCATTTCCTTTAGATGTAGGCATGCACCCAAAACTTCATCTCCCAAGAGTCCCTTGTCTATGTAAAATGTCAGCTCAACAGAAAGTTAGGGAAAAATTAGATTTCTGGCAGGGCCACAGTTATTTTCCTGTACTTGTAACATTTTTAAATTACACACACTTTACAAAGCCGTAGAAGCCTCTGCTGGGACAAAGCATTCCCATCTGTCTTTTGTTTCTATTGTATCAGCTGACATCACAGGCAATTTGCACAAAACCTCCACACTTCAGGAGATTTTATATAATGATAAGGGATACACCTTCACATGTCAGGGGCCACCATTGATAACTGCATGTTTAACATATACATATATCAACAAATAGTGCATTCCATACTTTAGAGTTCACAGAAAAATTTACATATAGATTTTAGCTATCAAGGTTATTGCCTATTTTAAATAAATGCCACTATTAATATATTTTGGTCTTTAATGTAACAGTCACATACACAAACTTAGATGAACTGGCTTTAAACACTCTTAAATTGGAAACAGAAGTTATGGTACTTTTAGTAGACAACAGTTATCCAGATGTTCATTTAGACCTATGTCTTTCTTAGGTTATCATTAGGTTATTCTTAGGTTAATATTATTATTGTAAAATTCCTGACTACTTTATGTCTTAGAATTAAAATATTGCAAGCAGCAGCTAGGGTCAAATTTAAGTAGGGTGCAGTGGGAAACTGTCCTTCAATACCCCATAAGGCAGGACCAAAATAATGTGGATTTCACTTGGACCCATCGAGGCCTAAAGATAAAAACACTATACAATCAGATTGTACAGTCTCTATACAATCAACTTTAGATTTACCAAAACTATGTAACCTAGACCGCTCATTCAGTGTGAATCAAATTAGACAGGCCCTCGCACTACATACAGTAGCTAATGGTAGGCCTAAAGGAGATTATAAAATCAGATCTGGTCACCTTTAGATAGTGTCAATGTATTTTTCATGCCTTTCTTAGTGTTCATGTAACCTTCCCGCGAATATTAAAAAAGAACTCCAGGATCTTTTCAAAATAACCCTTGCAGTGGGGTTACCCCTGTACCGCAAGGGTTAAGTGCTTGTTTTGGTCTAGGGATGAAAGTAAAAAGAATATACCCACCTGTTCCTCTGTTGCATGGTGCTGATAGACCGGTCCCCACAGCCTTTTCTCCCCCGAGCTCTGGCGCTCTACGGACCTGTGACGTCATTACGTCTAATGCAGGTCCATTAGATGTGAGGGCTCTAAGGGGCATACCACAGCCAGAAAAGAGGGGGAGAGAGGTGACTGGTTACTGCTGCAGGACCAAGAATCAGGTGGATGTATCTTCTTTATTTTCTGCCCTACACCAAAACAAGCATCTAACCTTTTGCAGTGTAGGGGTAGCCCCACTGCAAGGGTTAATTTGACACACAGTAGTATATTTTCAGTTTTTACTTATTAGAAAAATACCATATTTTTCACAGTGTAAAAGCCAAGAAACTAGAAAGGCAAAATGCAGTCCAAAGGATGAGGAAAAGAAAGGAAGATACGTTCTTGATATTTTCTGCAAAGTCATTCCAGATACAAAACAGTTCTTGAAGAATCAGTTTGAAAAACTTTTCCAAAGAGAATCATTTTCAGTGCTCTTCGGAACCACATATAGAAGAAGGCATAGACCATGGGGTTAAAAGTTGAATTTAAATATCCAACCCATACAAACGCATCAATGACAATAGAGGGGATGATATGGTTTGTAAATGGCCCAATAGCTGTGCTAAAAAAGAAAGGCGACCAACAAATTAAGAACACCCCCATTATTGTACCCAGGGTTTTGGCTGCTTTTCTTTCGCTGCATCGTGATATATATTGGTTTGCTACAAAACTTGCCTGGAATTGGATTTGACTGGTGGCATCTTTTATTAATCTTGCTTGTCTTCTGGCAATTATGTATATCTTTCCATATATGCAAATCATAACAAATCCAGGAATAAAAAATGAAAGCATAGATGCAATAACCCCTGATGTTTCACTAAAAAATACAAAGCAACCGCCAATACAGTAGACTTCATCATAGAAAAACATTTCTGAACCCTTTATATTCAAGTCAAGGAAGATCATGCCAAAAGCAAAAATAGCAGGGATAACCCAGCTGGTTAAAATCATGACGAGTACAGTAAATTTGTTTATTTTTGTCTTATATTGCAGTGGATGACATACTGCATAATACCTGTCCACAGATATAAAGGAGAGGTGGAATATTGATGCTGTACTGAGCATTATGTCCATTCCTGTATGTATTTTACAGAAAATGTCCCCAAAATACCAGCAATTCTCCACGGATCTGACCATACTGTATGGCATAACAAGGCATCCTAATAGAAAGTCCACAGTAGCCATGGAGAGGATTAAATAGTTTGTTGGAGTATGGAGCTGCTTAAAATGAGCAATGGAAATGATAACAGCAAGGTTTCCGGCCATAGTTGCCAAAATAGTGCTTACCATAAAAACATACATGGGAATCTTTACGCTGTTGGGCCAGCAGTGCTTTTCACATGATTTATTGATTGTTTCAAAACAGTATTGTAACTGCATTGTAGCTCTTGAAAATGTTCACATTGATGCATGGGTTCCACAAATACAGATGTCTTTGTCCCACGCGTATTTTTGCAAATGGATAGAACTGCAAACAAGAGCAAAATATATATAAATATAATGATAATAAGTAGTGCTATACCAGGAAATGGAGTGAGCTGAAACTGCATCTATTAAATGCAACTGTAAGACAATAAGTATATGCCCAGACTTCTTCAGCACAATAGGCATAAGCACAGATGAAGAGGGGCTCTTTCATAAACCCTGAAATACGTTGGCTGTGATTCTTTAAAAGACACCTTTATTGTGACAAATGAAATTCTGCTTGGGTAATCCCCATTTGTCAGCGCTGCCATGGATATGGCCAGGAAAACTGAAAATTTAATCATACTTACCGTAATTTTCTTTTCCTGGTTATACTCCATGGCAGCGCTGGGCTCCCACCCTATGGAGTTTTTAGCTTGTTACTAGACTGGGGAAGTCAGCAGGAGGAGGGGCTTTTATAGAGAGGGTTAGGCCTTGTTTAACCCTTTTGGTTCCTGTCAGCTAGGGGTAATTGGATCTAAACCCATTTGTCAGCGCTGCCATGGAGTATAACCAGGAAAAGAAAATTACGGTAAGTATGATTAAATTTTCAGTTTTTACCTTCTTTTCATGACTTGTAGTGCTCTTCCTTTCTCTTTACATAAGCTGGTTATCCAATGAGCCCCATCCTAGGGAATCAGGTTTCAGGTTTTAATTTTTTTCAGGGAGGCATATTTTATCTCAATATAATTTTGCTAGTGCCTTTTAATTTTTCTTTTCAAGGTCAGCAGTGTGAGCTTGTTGCTGAGCTGACACGGGCAAAATTCCCATTTGTTTTTAGCACATCATAGTAGTGAGGTAGAGTTTATTGCACCAAAGCACCATAGCCTCAATTCCCCTATTAGCATAGTTACTATAAAGTTAGGAAAGTCCTACATCCATTCCAGCTGCCAGCAAATGTACCCAGTGCACTATGAAGGTGATGTAACCTCCTTGCCCTTGCTTGTTGAACCACATGTCTGCAGTCATGTGGACCGCGTTACTGACTGCATGGTGGTGGAAGGCAGGCATCTCCTTCTGAGCAAAAAAATGGCGAATGGGTAAATGCGATTGTGGGGAATAGGCCACTGTGGTGCTGTTGGTAGCAGATTTATTAAAAAAGACCCACATTGCTGAGCTTTGTGGCACAACCCTGGTGATAGCAGTGGCCTGCACCCATTGTCAGTGCTATCTCATTAAATAGAACAGCTTCTCCTTCCACTCCTCTACAAGCTGCCTCTTTCCCTGCATGGATCCTGCGTCACCTTTCATGCCTTTCCTTTGCTTTCCCATTGTACAGTGAATGGCACCCAGGCACACTAAAACCTAAAACACGACACTGCAACCCTTAAATACTAAGCCCCAAACACCAACCCTAAAACATTTAAAAAAACATTTTTTAAAGAAGCGTGAAAATATATATCAAAGCTTTAAAGAAAAGAACAAAACATAATAAAACTCCCAAAAACTGCAAGGGAAGCACAGCAACTAAACAGCAAATTGTTGTTGACACACACAAAAAGGTAGTTCTGAAAAGGACTGTTTGATTTATGTACTTTGAACACAAAGGATGGTATAAAATTATATGTAACCGACCACAATGCTAAACACAGTAGCACAATATAGCACTGCAGTTCACTATGTAGTACAAGCAGAACTAGATATACTGTATATATAGCTCTGTATATAGAACTGTATAACAATGTATAGCAGTAACTTCCTCTTCCAGAAAACAGCTGCCCCTATCTACTGCAAGTCTCCATGCACACTGACATAGGACTGCTGGGAACTCTGACTTTTATAAGGCGGGGGCTGGCACATTAGAAACCCTTCCCTAATTGACCCTTATAAGCCATCTGACCACAGTTCAAAGGCCAGGAAGTGCATGATATTGGTTGCTATGGCAATGAACGATCGCCTTAGTTCGCCATTTTTCTAAACTGTGAATGACAACAGTTCAGGTCAAACCTATGGTCAACCCAAAACCTAAAGCTCTTTCCCAATAAAGATAGAAATAGCACGACTTTACAGTATATGCTGTGTAACATTAAAACAGATGCAAAGCCACAATTTTCTTTGATGTTGTGATGATATATCCATGGAGATCCTATGTTTTTAATGCATAGAATTGTGATGATGTTATATGTAAAAAAAAAAGAGCCCCCCCCCTTTTTACATAAGAAGCCCCCCTTCCCATCAGAACCACCCTTCTTATCAAAGTCTCCCCTTTGCATCAATAGCCCCTTGACAGGAAGCGTGCCCTTCACATCAGAGTCCTACCCCAAAATCTTCACCACAGTGTGGCTGCAGCTGCTGCAGGGTGGCAGAGGGCAGAACGTGGTGCATGTCTAGATGGAGGCGGGACCTCTATCCCCTGCTGAATGGTGGGGGAGGTCCTGGATGCCACCAACCTTGGATTTGCATCATGAGTTTCATGATGCAAGTAGCTGGTTTGCATGCACCAAGAAAACGCATGACACTGTGTAAAAATGTATAGGCATTTCTGACAAAGACAGAAGGTACTTTGATGGATTCTTCAACAGAGACAGGACAGAAGAAATTAACACCTCATACCTTCTCATACCCAGTAGTATTCTGATAGGTAATAGTGTTTAAAGCATTCAGTTGAAGGCAGCTGTTGCTGCAGCCAACATGCACATATAGCATTTATTTTTGACTGACTTAATAGTTAGTATTTGATGTTGTTTTCCAAGTTCAAAAACAGTTTCAGGGTTTGTTCACCGGTATAAATTCTGAGAATATATGCAGAGATGTGTAGCAAAGATGATGTAGTAACCATTCCGTGTTGACTTTAATGGGGTCATCCCAAGACATATTTTCTGCTCAGTGCAAGGTAACTAAATTTCAGTGATGCAAATCTGCCTAATTGCAGCATTCATATATAATATTCTTTATCTAGCCTCACAGTAATTTAGTGAATTATTTTCCTTTAATTTACAAATTGTGGCATAAGTGTACACTGGCTAGAACATACAGGTTGAGAAGCTTAGGACCAATGCCTTCTTAGCTCTCACCATGTTTGGGTCACACCTCAGTTTTTCTAGCGACTTATTGTACCCAGCATTTTTTAATTTTTAGGGCCATTCAGACATACCCATTTTGGTGGATTGCAATGACAGATGCATGTTAATGTGTATATTTTCCCACATAAACATGCAATGCCTTAAGACAACCCATCAAATGAATGGGATGGCAACACACCAAAACAGACCAAAAATGACATATGCACTTTTAAGATACAGCACACTACAATGCATCAAAGTTATCCTACACCACACTGGAGAGATGTGAATGGTCCCTTAAACTTGAACTCCATAACTCCATACAAATGGCTAAAAACACAACTTCAATTCAAATACATGAACAGTGTTACATGTCAGAGGATTTTTAATTCTTTTAAACCAGTCTTTGAATCTAGATATCCCAAACAGCAAATAGCACTCCCTTAGACCTTTCTACAGACTACACTAAAACTGAGCATTGCATCCTGGTCCAGGACCTGTGCCACTCTGTGGATAGACAGTGATGTGGTTTCTTAATGTCTCAAGTTCCCTGTATATAGTACATGAGCACTAAAGTAGACCCTGATTAACTCTTTGAGTCCTGCAGCCCAGCTGAGTTACAGGAGTGTCATAGCAATACAGATTTGGGTACTTTGTCAGCTGGATGTAAAAACAAATTAAATATTTGCAAAATCATAAAAAAAAACTTAATTATTAATTCCTGTATTGAGCTAAAATTGAAGGTGCCAAAATGTACCTCAACATTTGAGCAATATGCCAGGAATGTCATGCATTTGCATTGAAATACTCTCAAGGGAATGATCGGCTCACAACTTAAAAAAATCTCAGTGCGCAAACAAGTTTTCAAATAAGACACGTATTTCCCATGGAGAATATATATATATCGGACTGAATGGCTATTCAAGCATTCCTCGGGACAGACAGCATTTTGAAAGATCTAACAGTCAAGATAGCAGATATAGCAGCATACAGTGATAGGGATCAAACAATGTTTAAGTTTTTACAATAGAGATATTTAAGTAATAAGCCTACCTTATAAACATGAAGTTCATCCTAAATGTTGCGCATTAATTTATGCCCATAGAGCATCAGGTAATCCAAGGAAACTGAATCTTCATCTGATCCTGATCTTTGACTTCTTGTGCTACTAGGATTCTCATGATATTAGCTGATGATGACGTGCACATAAAACGTGTAAGGTCTGATAAGCAGAGTATAAATCTCTACTCTGGCAGTGTGACAGAACAAACATAATCATTATGCTATTCTTTCACTACACAACTGGCAGGGTCACAGGGAGATTCTGTTATAGAGCTGTTAGAATACACCCAGACTTGTTTGCTAGCAGACCATTATCTGACGATGATGTTTTCTAATGCTGGGATTAGGACCCTTATGCTAATCAGTAAAACATTTTCTAATGCAGGTCTTGGTGATGTTCAACTTTCTTGTGCTTTATGTGCTTTAGTGTCTTTTTTTAATTCAAGTTGCTAACATGTTTGCAATGTTTCTGTACTGTGGACATCTCATGTAAATAAGTACTGAATTCCTGTAATTAATAATACAGAAAAGTACACTTGTGCATTCCCTTTATTTAAAAATAGCATGAGAACAATTTTTCATTATGGCAGTCATTGCATACTTCAAAATAACTTTGAGCATGGCCTTGACTGTACATGGGAACATCTGGGAACCCTTAAGTCTCCTCATAGTAAAAGAAGCAGTGCAACTTTATATAAACACAAATCATATTTGATTATAAAAATGTTGAAATGATTGTTAGACAAACATATACTTTATGTCAGAAAAGCAACATTTTTTGACCCACTTTGGTTATGCCTTTGCCAAAGACTCAAGACTCACACAATCTGTTCAGCAATGGTTACCAGAACCTTACACTGTTAATCCTCATGCTCATGTGACCCAAAACTCAGCATACTGTATAGCGGGCTATTGTCTGCTATATGCTGACAGCGCAGAGCCGTGCTGCAGCCAGGATGGATCACAACAATATTGTCAGGATCCTCCCTGCTACTTGATTGACAGCTGGCTGTGCCCGCCTTCTCTCCATCCATCCCTCCAGTCAGCACTGAAGGAAGAGAGAAGGGAGGGGGGAATTCCTGCGGTGAGCGGTGACTGAGTGTCACCAGTTTCTCAGGGAGATGATTGGGAAGTGAGCAATTGGCTGCATGTGACCACTCAACTCTGGATCAATAGAGCCGATGTGTGACAGCTTCATGGAGATGAGTGTATTTTATTCTCCTTTAACACATATCTGTAATTATTAATGCATTATTAATTGTGTTTGTTTTTATGCAAACAGCATAAATACCTGTAAGTACTACACTACTATATATATGCACAAATGATATCAAAACCAGGTGTATAAAAAAAGTTTAAACTTTATTAATGCATATTCAGTGCTCACCCCCAAAGGAGCCGTCCATAAGAAAAATAGACAGACTCCAGACTCACCAGTCCCCTTCAGAATTCGAGTGCAGATTTAATAAAAGCACACACTGACAATGGGTATTTGAACAACTGTTGAATAGGGATTGGCACAGAATCTTCAGAAGGAGAGACACCAGTCTTTCTGCTGAAGTCTACTCTATTCGAGGCACCTCCAGCAGCCATCAGCTTCCCTGATTCTCCTCCTCTATTAGTAGCAAAGGCCTCCTCCGGACATGAGGCGTAGCAAAACATTTCCCACACTTGAGTATTCCCACCCCCAGGCCTAGCCCGGGGCAGGCTGGACAGCACCCAGCCCTGACTGGACTGGGCTATCCCAGAACTGGACTGAGCACATGACAATGCCCCGTCCCAGCATGCACCACTGGCAGAGCCCCAGTAATTGGCTGGAGGACGGCACACACACTCACAGTGTCCCCCATTGGTTGTCCCACACTGCAGCAGAGTCACACTCCACTCAAGCAGGTACAATCAATTGCCAACTATAATTCAACCAGACTGACTACTGCTCTGGCAATCACTAAATTTCTAGTAGCCACTCCACTAAAGGTGGTAGTGGCTACACATATATATCCTAAATATAGACACATAAACTGAGTATCCACACAAAATATTAAAACCCTCACAAAATGCATGTTATCTTAAAAGCTCATAAAAAGCAATGTGGTCCTATATCCAAAGAATCAGTCCACAATATGCCAAATACCAGACAGTGACTTTGGCATTCACTATGAGTCACACCCTGACATGTCCTGGGTCATTGTGATAAATTGTGCAAAATAAATTAGTCATTGCTAACCATCCAAACAAATATGCAAAGTGCTTATATGTCTCCGATGAATGCCTGAGGGAGGGAAGGTAATCTGTAAGTTAAAGTGAAACTGCATCAAAGAAAGATTAGGTCCTCTCCCCTGCAGCCATGAATATGCTGTGACAAGGCTATGTAAATCTCAGGACTGAATGGACAGAATTATGTGATGCTGGAATATGGTGTTGCTGACCCCGTCTGTGAGGATTGAACTGTTCTGTTACCCCATAAACAGCAGTAATAGAAGTGAATGTTGTTTTTCCCATGTTGCTTTTAAATATTATTATTATTATTATACAGGACTTATATAGTGCCAACAACTTGCGCAGTCCTTTAGGCTATAGTCGTGTTATCAATCTCAAATGAAATGTTGGGGGAAGGTGCACGGGCGGGAGGAAATATCAAGAGCTCAGTTTTTGAAAGGTTGAGTTTTAAGAAGTGTTGTGACATCCAGACTGATATGTCAGTTAGTAGATTAGTGACACGCAAGGACACTGAGGGGGTGAGTTGCGGAGTAGAAAGATATATTTGAGTGCCATCGGCAATAGAGATGGTACTGGAAGCCATGTGAGGTTATTAACTGACCAAGGGAGGAGGTGTAGATAAAGAAGAGAAGGGGTCCAAGGACAGTGCCTTGGGGGACCCCTACAGAAATAAGAGGAGGGGAGGAGTTAGATCTGTAGGTGACACTAAAGGAGCGCTTAGATAGGTAGGAGGAGAACCATCAGAGAGCAGAGTCTTGTAGGTCAAGTGAGTGGAGTTTTTGGAGGAGCAGGTGGTCAACAGTGTCAAACACAGCAGAAAGGTCTAATATCAAGAGTAAGGAGTAGTGGCCATTGTTCTTAGCAGTTAGTAAGTCACTAGTGAGTTTTAGGAGGGTGGTTTTAGTGGAGTGAAGGGGGCAAAAGCCAGACTGTAAGGGGTCGAGAAGGTTGTTATCAGCGAGGTGGCGGCTGTAGATAAGGCATTCTAGGAGTTTAGAGATGAATTGGAGTAAGGAGATTGGTCTGAGATTGTTGAGGTTGGTAGGGTCCATTGAGGGTTTTTTGGGTATTGGGGTGACTAGCGCATGCTTTAGAGGGGAGAGAAATATGCCAGTAGAGAGTGAAAGATTGAAAATGTGAGTAAGAGAGTGTAGGATAGAGTAATAGAGTGAACAAAGTAGTGGTGAGGGAACTGGGTCCAGGGGGCTAATGGTGAGGTGGGTGTCAGAGAAAATCTTTGTAACCTCCTCTGTGGTGAAGTCACATAAAAAGGAGGACCCTCTCCCCACAAAGGGCATTTTTTAAATCTTGCATTGGTGCATGTCGCCATGGCAGTGCCCATTTCCCCATGCCCTTTGTTTTACAATCATTTGACTATTATCCTTGAAAATGACCAAACATGATTCTCAAGATTCACACCCTATTGACTTATACAGGGCTTGTATTAAAGTTTGCAATTTCCATATTTTATGATGAGTTCAATGAACACCCTGTGAATCAAACCCAGACTCATTCATCTCTAATTGCCACATGCACCATATGCCAGAAATGGCTAAGCAATAGCTGTCGAAACACACATTTAGAATTGTATGCCCTTCAGCATAAGGCATGTATTTCAAGGAGGAGGGCCTCTTCTATATTTCTGACACTTAATGAAGGAAGTGTAATGCATAGGGTAAGGGGATTTATGTTATTTCCCTGCCTTTTTGGCTGCAGGTTAGTTGCTACACTCCTGTCCTGGTGAAATGACAAAATATTATATCAATCCATGCTACCAATGATGCCCATAAACCAATAAAATAATTTATCTTGAAGATGATTGAAATAGAAATGTGAAATCTTCTTTAACCCCATGCCACAGTACAATCACCAATGTATTCATCTATGAAATAGTTTTGCCCAAGGATGGATTGCGTAATTTTATATTTAATCAGTTGCTGACACCAAACCAAAAGCAGGATCAAGAGACTGTCCTAAAAACCCAGGTAACATATGTACTGTAAGTCGTAGTGGTGGTGGAGGAGTTGCAATAAAATACATAATACCTTATTTTTTTAATACAATGTCTATTGTTTATAGTTTATGTCATACATATATTACATTGATATATTTTATTACAGTTCATATGCTAAAATCAGGACAAAGAAATGTATTTAATGTACACAAGTTTATGAATTTATTTTTTACTTTATAAAAACATTAATATCCCAGCAGGAAAGTATATGTAAGCCCTGTCTATGGTTTGTTTGATCTGGGCATGATTAACAGATGTTCTGTCTGCTTATCTTGGCAAGAAAATACAATTAAAAATTAAAAAAACGCCCAAGTGACTCTGCTTATTTATTTCTTCAGTGGCTCATTGTCCAAAACTACCATATGGAAGTGTGTTTTGATTGCCCAAAGTCAAACAAGTTAACAGCAACAGTTTGGGATGACTTCAATAAATCCTCTTTAAAATAAATACATCAGTGTTGCAACACAGGAATTGTGTTATGCTACTCATATATACTGTAGACAAAAGAATACTTTTAGGCTAATTTACTAATGCCAGCTGGCCAGAAGGGAGTGATGATGAGGTTTCACTCCACATCACTGTTAATACAATGCTCGCTAACATGGTACGCACATGCATGCCTGATTAATGGCTCATGCCTTCTTATGTCGTTGATGCAGGTAATTAAAAAAATAATAAAAATAAAGTTCATTACGTGAAAGATTTTAATGCACAAGAAAAAAAATTCAAATGTGCCAAATGAGCAAATAGAAAATAAACTTAAAGGAATTGTGAATACAACGTATAAATTACTCAAAACTATTTCCTTCTTACAAAAAATATTTTTCTTTAGTTTTCGACATGTGGAGAAGTACCTCAGTGACCATGCACAGGAAGTAAGTAGAACCTCCTCAAGGGGGAATAGGCAGCAAAGATAAACTGAAATGTTTTACCCATTTTCCATTGTGTCTTGTGTCTTTACATGTTGACCCATTTTCCCTCTATTCTGACTCCGATCGTTGTGATAGCGAAATATATCCCTTGCTGAGACCTCTAT